GACAGCACGGCCGCCCCGTGCCAGCCGCCTCCTGGCCGGCCCTAAACGGGGCCAGCAGCCAAGGGAGAGCGCTCGGCTGCAGCCAGCCCGGTTTGCCTGCCCTGCTGAGACGCCCCAAACTTTAACGTTCATTGTAAACTAGGAGTAGCTCCGAGTGGTTTAGGAGAGGCAGAGGGCAACGCCATCCCCAGCTCTTATCTGAGGGACACACAGCGGGCCAAGCGGCTGCTGAGGGCTGAAGATGATCTCTGCCCGTGTTTCTGCCCGAATGACAGGCACGCGCTGCCTTGGAGCCCGTAAAACTTTTCTGGCTCCAGCTACGGCAAATGCCCTGAGTGGACATAGTAGCCTCAAGGAAGCCACAAACTGATCAGTTTCGAGAACCAGACCCCAGAGATGTGGGAATAAAAAGGCGATGCAAAGCCATGGGGCAGGCCAGGAACTCATCTTGATCGATTCTGCCTCCCAGCCACTAATCCTCCCTAATCTCCTATTTGGTGGCATGTCACAACTCTCCCATCTGATCATTTGGTCTGCACTAACCCTCCTGGGTCACTGAAAGCTCTTCTTAGCAGCTTGGCTTGCAGTGGGACTCCCCCGGCAGGTAAGAGCACAGGGCTGGTGAAGCCAATAGCACAGGCAGGCAACTCGGCCTTGTCACCCACCAACACTGTGGAGGCAATACAGCTACACACAGCCAACGGTTCCTCTGCAGAGACCTCCAGCGCACTCTGCTTGTGGGCCCTCCTCACTGGAGCACGGGATGCGGGGACCATCACAGAATGCCACCATTTGACCACACATCCATCCCCTCCCTGCAGCTCTTTCGCACCACAGTCCGTTTTACACCCTAGTAAGAACGGGCTGAGCCAGAACCAGCTCCCTTCCCGTAGCCTCTCCAGATCCCTAACTCACTTCCTCCGCTCTCTTCCTCCTTCCCCTACCACGCCACCCACGCACCTCACCTCTCCTCGTTGAGGCCACACATGCGAATCCGCTCTGTGCTGGTCCAGTTGTGCACCCCACTATAGAGAGGTGCTGTAGAGATCATGACAGCTGCTCGTCACCGACCGGGACCTGCTGGGGCTCGAGGGGCCGCTCTGCCTACAAAAGAAAAACAGAGGATTGGTAACTCTCCCCGGGACGCTTGCATTCAACCACACTTCAGAGAGTCATCCCCAGCTTCGCTGCCAGGCAGACGGGGTACAACGCCCGAGATGCTGCACGTCTGTCTGGAAGAGGGCTAGAAGAAATCAGCAGCGCCTTGGGACAGAAGTCACAGTCCGCTCGTCCTCATATTAAACAACTTTATTGCCAAAAAGCCTCTGGCTACCCTGAGAGTTTCACACGGGTGTCTTCATGCACACACACACACCCCCCTTGAAAGATTCCTCCACTTTTCTTCTCCCTCCAAAGGGACCTCCAGCACCGGGTAGCAAGCCGCAAGACAGAGCTTTACCCAAGGTGATGGCCTGTTAAAATGCTGACGTCCCCAAGGCTTCATAGGACTTTCATAAACCAGCCCACGGTGGGTTCAAAGGGGAAAGCTTCAAACAAGGAGGCAGCTGGGGGACCCTGGAGGGGAGCAGAGGTTTGCCAACAGTGCTGCCAGACGTGCCGTCAAGTGATTATCCCCTCACTCTGTCAGGAAGGTGCTGGTATTCAGTGGGGTTACGGGTGGAAAACATGAGGAAATCCAGAGATTCGTGAGCATCCAAGACGCACCGTCGGCTGGGTGGAGCTTTTGAGGGAGAACGTTGCAGCCAATCGTGCAGCGCTGGGTGTTCAAGCATTAAGGCAGCTTTGCTGCTCAAGTCGTATCAGGGAAAAAGCAACGAAGGAAGAGAGGATCTACTGTGCTAACAAGTGGACTCGGTCAAACCAGGCAGGACTGACTGCAAAAGCCACAGAGATGCTGTCAAAGAGGTTCTTGGTTCAGAAAAATACTAAACACCCGAAGGTAAAAGCAGGCACAGAGCCACGGCAACGCTCTCGGTGCAGCGGGTGAGAGTGGGAAGAAGCTGAAAGCGACACGTGATCCCAAATCTCTGTCAGTTTTCTTTTCCCTGACAAACTCCTGGCGACACAAGCTCTGAACAGGACAAGAAGCAGCTTGCACCATCCGTTTATGCTGAAACGAGCCGCGCAGGGATCTACCGGCCAGCAGCTCAAGGGATCGAGCCGTGGAATTGAATGACTCCTCCGAACGCAGCTGCTGCTGGGTATCCTCACCTCAGCCCAAACATGCCAGTGGGGATCCTCCAGACAGAAAAGAAGGGCCAGGCACATAGGAGAAATCGGGGCAAGGCAGCTCGTTTGCAAAAAAGAAGCGACAGACCCATCTGCACGTACGAGGGCACAAGTGAGCAAACAGACTACGGAAATCAGAGGTCAGGAGAAGAGGGGGAAACCTGCTAAAAGACACACACTGTAAGATGGAAGAAGTACTATATAATGAAGGGGGAGCCGGGCAGACGCTAAAACAGAGAGCAGGGTCATACCCAAAGAGAATGAGAGGTGGCTTGGAGCAGGAAGGGGAGGAGTCTTTTGGTGCTTGGAGAGAAATACAACATAAAGGAAATAGGGGAACAAACAATCTGCGGGGATTTCACCATCTTAGGCTAAACTGAAAGAAGGGGAGGAGAAAGGTTCTGCCCCTGAGCACAGTGGCAGGACAGATGTTTCGGGAGAAACCAAAAGGGACCTTCTGTGCAACGGGGGAAGGGGACGCGTACGGCTGCGCAACGTGGAACAGAAGTTGGAGACGAGCTGAAGCCTCAAAGCACAGATCAGGTGTGACCGGAGAATAGGTCTGGCAAGGGAGAAGTGATAACAGGTTGGTGTGAGGAGCTGGGAGAAACAGCACGTTTTGAGTACTCAAGTAAGAGCTGGTCAACAGAGGAGGCACGACAGCCACGAGAAGAGAGCCGGGAGGACATAGCAACAGAGATAGACACTGTTTCATGAATTCTTGGCCTCTGTCCTCTACGGATGATGTGGGACACGTGCCAAAGACAGGCATTTCACAGGGAATGAAGAAGAACAGAAGAGAAAAAGAATCGAGATTTCAACTAAGAGAAGGAATAAAACGGGGGAAAAACAACAGATGTGGTCTCAAGCACAAACCAGAGCGAACAGTGAAAGAACAGCATCCTTAAGAAGGCGGACCAGGAAGTTTATTGAGAAATAGAGGGATGAGCAGCCTCCCGATGCAACGCCGAACCAGAAAGAGCAACTGCAGCCTCCCTGGGTCAAAACACACTTTTAGTCAAGTCGACACAAGGAAACCAAGCAAATCTCTCGTCTACACTGGCGCAGCTTGAAGCGACTTTAAACGGATGTAATTAAACTAGTAGGAAGCCCTTGGAGAACACAACTAGGGCATGGTTTCACATGCTTGTCTTCGAGTAGAAGAAGCTGTTGAAGAAACTGTTGAAGCCCTCCTCTCCCCTCACCCCTTCAACCATGTCACTGAAACTGTGCGGTGTTCCGGTAAACTTCTCCAGGGAGTTGATCTCTGTTTAAAACCTTTTTTTTTTTTTTCCTCCCCCCTGACTGGACTGGTTTTAACCCATACTAGCTCCGAGATCAGGTTCACCAAGAGGGAGAGAGGGCACAGCCTGGCACAGAATCTGCTTAATCTGCTACGCCTGCCAAAGGAAGTGTATATGAAACCACAGTCTTATTTTGATTTAGCTAAATAGGTGCCCAGCCAATTCTAATTAACTCCAAAGAAAACTAGTTTAGAACGAAATGAGAATATCAACACAGCATTTTGCTTGGAGAAGCTCGTGCGATATTAAAGCTCCTTCACCTCACAAAACAAAACGTGCTCTAAGAATGCGAACAAGAAAGGTGCCGAACGCGTTCACCTACAACAACAAGCCCTCGGAGAGATTTTCAATGAAACTAGCGTGGTGAATTAAAAGCAAGGGGTTTTTTTGTTCATTAAGACAAAACCTCTCATCGTTTTGCAAAAGGAGAGGGTGCTACTCTGCAAACCAGTCTCTTCCAGGCTCCAGAAAAAGCAAAGCAGAAGATGCTTTCCCTGTAGTGAAAGCATGCTTTTACTCAGGTTAGCGATGACTTAGCTGCACGTGGAAGTTCCCTTGGACTAAGTCAAGAAATTACTGTCTCTTCCGAAATACTGCTATACAGCCGATGAAAACAAGTTTCCTGAAATGAAGTTCTTCGAGAATGAGTATTTTCTAATAATTATCTCTAGACAAATCCTCCTAGCACTAAAACCCCAACGGCGCCAAGACAACCGTAGTTTCAACACAGGCCGAGCTGAGGATGGCAGGACAAGCTGCTGTTGCCTTCACCTACCAGCTCCCACACAGCTGAAGAGAATTAAGCCCACGTAATCTCCATGCTGACCCCTGTTAAAATCCTGCCTGCTCCCTAGCTCTCGGGGATCCTAACTTGAGTTGCCCGAGGTGAGGCTTCCTAATTAAGCTTTCCTCTGCAACACTGCCCCTCACACTCACACCTCCCACCCCAGCATTAATGCGGCAGAGGGGTACGGGAGTTGCAAAGTAGATTTGCAAGCTATCCTCCCAAATAACAGTGATTCCTCAGCCGGATCAGTTCCCTGACCTGACTCAACGCTCAGCTTCTCAAGCGCTTGCGTTGGCAAACACGTGAGGCAACTTCTCCGGGCTGCCACTGAACTTCCAGCCACAGGTAGCAAAGAGTTTGTTTTTTACCGGAGGGTTTGGTACTGTCGGTGTTTGCCCTAACATGTCACGTCTACATCGCCACGTGGTCTAACCCACTTTCGTACTGCCTTGACCAGGCTCACCAGAGCCACCATCTTCTACAGCCGTCCACCTCTACGGCAGCTGGGGTTGACCCAGACCTGCTGGTACAGAAAGGGGCTTTCCCCTGTTCCTCACAGAGACACCTTGTGCCAGCCACTTTCTTCACACTGCAAACACATTCCGCTTTAGGACCGTGCTGCCTTGACCCCCCAAGAAGCTTTTCATGTATTTTCCTGCTCTGTACATTTCCAGGTACTAAACCGACTTGGATTTCAAGATGCTTACCTTTCCTCTCCCCCATCCCAGCACCAGCACGTGAGCTACGCGCCAACAGATCGCCACTGCCTCAGCTGCACCCTGCAGGCACAAGACAACGGGTACCGAAACGCCAGCAGCCAGTCTCCTAAAATCCCCCAGCGCAAGGCTTCCCTCCGCCTGGGCTCTGGGCAGGCATATCATCCCCCGACACAGGTAGGAGAGCGCCGCGCGACGGCATCGAGCGAAGGCCCGGCGAGTGGCGATGTGCACCGTTGCCAGCAGCCGGGGTTCAGACAACGGCACAAGCCTCCCCGGGGCGAACAGCAGCTTCGCCTTTCACCAGCAACGGGGCGAGCCTCGCGAGGCCGAGGGCCAGCTCCGGAGATCCCGCCGTGGATCGCGTCGGTAGGAACTTGGTGCAGCTCGGCAAACAGAGCGATGCGCTCGGCTGGGCTCCGGGTCCTTTACAGACGCGGTAAAAGGCTGCCCGCCGGTGGTGCCTCCTTTCGCTCCGGCAATGCTCTCGGCTGCTACGTTAAGTGGGCCAGCGGCACAGAGGAAGGAAAGGGAGACTTTTTCCAGCCCTAGGGTATCGGAAAGGAGAAAGCCCGACACATCCCTCTGCAGCAAGAGATCGGGAGAACGCGGTCGCTGGCCTTTCCACGGTGCTGTACGGCTCCTTTGGCCAGGGGGCACTGTGGAAGGCCCGGAGGGATGCACTTTGACCCTGGAAACACACCCGCAGGAGATACCTTTGTAACATTCATTCCCGGAGAGCCGGGAAACCTCGAAGGCAGGTTTTTTCCCCTCTGGATGGCTACAAAATGTAAAACTACGTGGGCTGCTGGAAACTCCAGCGGGACGCCCGGCTCGGGGCGCATCACCTGCAACCCGGCTACTTCGACGGGAGCGAAAGCAGCGGAATAAGGCGGCACGCGCCCCTGCGGCTCTCCAGCGGGGCTCGGATGGGCCGGAGGGAAACGGTCTGCATCGGCGGGAACGGCCTCCTTCACTTGCGATAGTTTGTTCACTTTGGCAATCTTCGTTGCCATTAGTAACACAGGCGAGAAATTATATTTGTTT